CGCCAGCATGCTGAGTTGTCATGGTATGTTTGTTTCCCCGGAAGTGCTAGGGTCTCCATGCCCTACCCCTGTCTTAGTCGTGAGGGTGGATCTGGCTGTCCTTGATGGAAAAATACTGACCAAGCTAGGATTCATTCTGTGCTGCTTCCCAGGCTCCAGCTCCTCTGGACTTTCTGCCCTCCTGTCTCTGGCTCCGCTGCACTCTCCCTTCCTGGACTCTCCCTTGGCTTTCTGCCTTCGGGAATCTGATCCCTGCTGGGCCTTCTCCTTTCTGGGGTTTGTTTTCCAGGGCTCCTTTCCTCAGCTCTGCTCTCTGCTGGGCTCTGGTGCTAAAGAGATCCTGATGGCGCAATCACTGAGACTGATCATGACCTCATCATGTGGATGATCTTCTGAAAGAGCCCAGGATTTCCTGGCCACCATGAGGGCTGTGGAATTATCCAAGTGGTTATTGGCTGAACTCATACAGCTGGGCACATGCTCGATCAGGAGTTTGGGCTGACAGCTGTGGGGAGCTTGAAATGATTCCTTTGTTTGCGGGCCTCAGGCTCAACCTTGACAAGTCAAATCTAGTTCCCTCTCAGTCAGCACAGTTCATGGGGACAGTTCTTGATTCAAAGGCAGAGAAAGCCATCCCGACTTCTACAGCCAGGCACTCAGATACCACAGGATATGCTCTGAGAGAACATCTGGCATAGACACCTTAACATACTTAAAAGTGCCTTCACCAAAAAAAGGACACTCCACCAAAGAAGTCGTTCTCATCATGGAATGGGTCACCTAGCTACCCTAAGAGAACCTGCTTCAATACAGAAAACTACCCCAATGACTACACAGCCCGGGTTGTCACCTACCACCCTACACTGTAACTTATATGGGGAATCATCAAACAGTTACAACCCGTCCTTGATGGGGAGCACATCCTGAAAGAAATCATTCCCAACCTCCTCCTTCTGCCTTTAAACAATTCCCAACTTTGCCAAACTCATCATCAGAAGCAAACTCCCCACAGACCAGGACCTCCCAACTCAAAGCAGCACCAGCGCCTGCCCAAACAGATGCAAAACCTGTAGACACATCTCCACTGCTACGATGATCAACACCTCCCATTTAACTGCTCACCTCCCTGCTGTGAGGTGTAGTTGAATTCATAGCACAGATTATGAGCAGTTTTCTTTGGACACAAATACATTGATTCAGAATCACAGTCTGTGTACATATCTCATAATAATTATGAATTTAGAACATCACATGCTTTCTAAAAGACCTAATGTGACGCTGTATGGAATATGTGAGACACTGTATATTATTATTAATACCAATATTGT